GATCATGGATTTTTATTTCTCATCATTTATTTCAGTTTCTAAACTGTGTAATTTCTTAAGACAATTTCCTTCTGTAAGGTAGTATACATATAAGCCTCTTCTGCAGATTTACCATGAAGGCAGAATAAATGAAAGTGATTACAGAAAACTGGAAGAAATGCACCAAAGATGCCTGGTTGCAGAGTGTTCAAAAGATGATCTTCAGCTAAGACTTAAGTCCGCAGAAAATAAAATCAAACAACTTGAAATGAAGTAAGTTATTCTTTTGGATTTTCAAAATTCAAACAATTTTGGACAGGTTTTATTTTTATACAACTCATAATTATATATTATGTTGAAAAAAAGACTGTTTCGGCCAAACAAATTTTTTTCAAGGTTATTTTTGAAAACTAATTTCTTCAGGAAGAAATGATTTAACAGTACTGTACCATTTTATTTGAAATTTCTTGTTTCTGGCAGTTTAATAGAATGTTCATGAGATCTTTTTTTTTCATGGTAACAGTACAGCTATTAAGGAGCTTGCTTATAATTATTGCTTTTATACTCAGTTTGCATTTATATTTCTTGAGGTATTGAGTAGTCAAAAATAATCCATCATGTTTATGTATTTCATTATTTGTTAAAATGATAAACTTATCTGTCATATCCACACTGAATATTTCTGTACCTTCCCCCCAGATTATTACTTAGTATAGTAAATCTTGCTTATTTTAAGTTGTATGAAGTCTCGATCTCATATAAAATATGTTTAATAGATATTTAAAAATAAACAGGAGTGATATCAGCAGTATGGCAGAATAGGAAGTCCCCAGCCCATATCCCTCTGCAGAAACAAATATTTGACAGCCATCCATGGATAAAGTGTCTTTGTGGGAGCTTTGGGGTCTAAGTAGGTGGTTGCAAAACCCCAGTGGAGCCCCAAAATGAGGAGGCAAGCCTGTGCACCAGTGGCAGGCTCCCCAACTGTGGTCCCATGTATGAACCCAAAGCAGCCCCATCTCTCTGTGGACCTGGCTCTAAGCCTGCATGCCCAGTCCTGCACCTAGCCCCTTCCCAAGGGACCCTTGTAGGTACTCTCAGTGATTCAAAGAAGTAATCAAAAGGGAAATCAAAAGTTGAGACAAGCAAAAATGGAAACAAAATACACCAAATTTATGGGATTCAGGGAAATCAGTTCTTAGAAGAGAGTCTATGGTGTTAAATGCCTACATTAAGAAAAGAAAGATCTCAAATAAACAACCCAACTTTATGCCTCAAGAAACTAGAAAAGGAAGAAAAACCTAAGCCTAAAGTTAGGAGAAGGAAGGAAATACCAAAGATTAGAGCAGAAATAAGTAGAGAATTTTTTAAAAATAGAAAAGGTCAAACTAAGACTTGGTCTTTTGAAAAAGTAAACAAAATTGACAACCCTTTAACTAGACTAAGAATAAAAGAAGACTCAATAAATGAGAAATAAGAGAGGAGATATACAGTGATACCACACAAATACAAAGGACCATAGGAGACTACTATGAATAATGATATGCCACAACAAATTGGACAACCTTGAAGAAATGGATAAATTCCTAGAAACATACAACCTTACAAAAGTAAATCTGAAATAGAAAATTTGAACAGACCAATTATATTAAGGATATTGAATCAGTAGTTAAAAACCTCCTAGGATTTTTGGAAAGTTCAGAACCAGATGACTTCACTGATGAACTGTACCAAATATTTAAAGAAGATTTAATGCTACTCATTCTTAAACTCTTTCATAAAATGGAATAGGAAAGAACATTTCCAAACTCATTTTACAAGGCCAGCATTACTCTGATACCAAAGCAAGAAGACACTATAAGAAAATAAAACTATAGGCTAATATCCCTGATGAAGATAAGTGTAAAAATCCTAAAAAAACAAATAAAAACTAGCAAACCAAATTCAAGAATGCATTGAAAGGATCATACACCATGACCAAGTGGGATTAATATCAGGGATGCTAGGATGGTTTGACATATGCAGATTAGTAAATGTGATATAACACACTAAAGAATGAAGGATAAAATTCATGTGATCATTTCAATAGATGTAGAAAAAGCATTTCACAAAATACAACATTCATGATTTAAAAAAAACCTCAATTAGATGTAGAAGAAATGTACCTCAACGTAGTAAAGGTCATATGTAACAAACTCACAACTAATGTCATACTTAGTGGTAAAAAGCTAAAAGCTTTTGCTCGAAAATCATAAACAAGACAGGGGTGCCCACTCTTGCCACTTTTATTCAACATCGTACTCTATGTCTTACAGAAATTAGACAAGGAGAAAAAGTAAAATGTATGATCTACAGAAGAACAGATAAAGAAAAGAGGGTGTGTGTGTGCACGTGTATGGAGATGGAGATACGTATATATTCTCCAGGAATCCCTCTTTTCTGTTTTTTTCTTACAAATAGTTTGTTGAAAAACTGAGTTGTTAGTAGAGTTTCCTCTACCTACATGCATATATGTGGTGTCATGTAGTTTTTCTGTCCCACGTAGTTCCTAAAAGCTAATAACTGAATTGAGAGGCTTGATCTGATTCAGCTTTCACTTTTTTTGTAAGAATTCTTCAGAGATGGTGGTATTTTGAATTTCTGTTTGGAGGCACATAATGTGTTATTATTTTTGATCTTAGCATCTTTATGACTTTAGCATACTTTGAGGATCATTGCCTAGATCTTTCATTTCATTAGGAACTTGAGACAGGAAAAAAAGGGCTACAAGTATTATGGGAATAAAGGTCCTTGTATATTGCCTGTGATAGCTGTCAATGAGGGAATGTTTACAGTTACTTAATTATCTGGGATTGAAAAGATAGAAATTTTAAAAGATAGGAATGTGGGGAGGATATAGCTCAGTAGTAGAGTGAATGACTAGCATGCACAAGGTCTTGGGTTCAATCCCCAGCACCTCCATTAAAAAATAAATAAATAAACCTAATTACCTCCCTCCCAACAAAATTTTTAAAATAAATAAAATTAAAAATAAATAAAAATTTTAAAAAATAGAAGATAGGAATAAAAATTAGCAGCATATTGAAGCAGTAAACAAGTTTGGAGGTTGTGTCCCCCAGTAGTCCATTGTTGAGAAAGTTCAAGAAATGTACCTATTTAAAGTATGATAAAACAAGAAGTTTATGGAACTAGAAGTTTATAAAAACCATTTCTAAGATATATAACAGGAAAATATGAAATAGGTCTTATTATAATTCATAATTTAATATAGTCAGCTAATGTGTCTTCCCCGTTGAAGTCCTCTTTACACTGTGATTCTCAATGGTAGTAAAACTTTGAAAGAAGTTTCACACTGATTTTCTAGGTGAGTGATAAAAGTTCAACTGAACTATTCTTAGTTAAGATTGCTAATTAATCATATTTGCCTGGTGTAACATAACATTGTGAAACCACATAGTCTAAGTCCACAGTGGAGAGAAATGGCTTAGAACAAAGAAAACAAGTCTATAGTATAAAATATAGGCAGATTTTCTTGACATTTACTACAGATCATTAAGTTTAAAGGTTCTTTTTGTTTTGTTTTTTTAATCAGTTCCTCAGAAGAGATATCACGTTGCCAAGAAATGATTCAGAAACTTCAAAATGTACTGGAGTCTGAGAGAGAAAACTGTGGATTTGTCAATGAACAAAGGCTGAAACTTCAGCAAGAAAATGAACAGTTACAGAAACAGACTGAGGATTTAAGAAAAATTGCTCTCGAGGCTCAGAAAAAAGCCAAATTAAAGGTATTTTCAAGACTAGTTAGAATTAAATGTGTACTTCTGAAAATCAAAATACAGAGAATATTTAGAGAGACCTAGTAAAACATTTTTAAGTTTTTTTTTTTTGGTTTCATTTTTTGTTTTTGCCTTCTCATCAGATAGCACTAAATCATATAGCAGAGCATTAACCAGTCTTTTTTGTATTGTAGAACTTGGCAAGCATACTTGAAAATGATTGCTTTCACTATCCACACACAAAAAATCCTTTTCCAACCATGAACTGCACTGATATTTCTGCCAAAGCAATTTAAGCAGTGCTAGCAAGACGATAGATTAGACAACTTTACAGACTGCCATCCTCTCTTCTCTCTCTTTAGATAGCCTCTTGAAAATAGAACTCTTAAAACTAGCTGTACAGAGTATGGTACATCAGTGTGCTCTGAAAACCATTCATAGGTAGTCTAAAATTCCATGCCAGGAAGAACGCAAGGGACAAAAGTCTCCTCTAGAAAAAATTTCCTTTTATTTTCTCTCTCCTTTCCCCCTCTTCTTTACTCTAATGCTTACACGGTTTGACAGTAGGAACATGATAACCTATTTGAGGGAGTTTCAAGAAGCACAGGTACCACCATCAACATGTTGCTTGCCTTACCCTATTCTGTGTGACTTTTGTAAAAAATGGCATTAACTCTTTACGATAAAGATTTGTATCTTCCAGTTTCATAGGAAGAATGTGAAGCAGTAGCATTATTGTTTCACTTTGTTTTTTGTTCCTTTGAGGACTCTTAAGAAGTCACATTCCAACCCAGTTCATATTAGCATGTATTTATTTAACACCTCCTATTACAAGTGTCCAACACTGTAGTTATTTATAAAAGCTTAAACTCTGAACAAGAGACCCTAACATATCATACAAAGAAGTTTGTAGTTTATGCTTTAGGCTGTGAGAAATCTTTTAAAAACAAAGGGGAAGAGTCACATTACTGGATACCAAGACTTTATATATAAAGCTGTGGTAATTAAGACAGTGTGTAATTGACATAAGAATAATCAGTGTGATCAATAGGACAAAATAGAATTCAGGAGCAAAACCTTTTTTCATAATCACCTCATTTATACAAAGGCATCACTGAAGTTCAATAGGGAAAGAATTGTTACAGTAGATGATGCTATAAGTTGGGTCCATATTTTTTAAACACAACAAAAATAGCACTAATCATATTGAAAAGGTAGATGAATTGGATTTCATTAAAATTAAGATTTTTTAAGTGATTTAGAGAGACACCATTAAAAGAGTGAAAAGTGGGAAAAAATATTTATAAGATATATAACCAAAAGAAGGGGACTCATATTCACAATATAAAAATGTTTACCAATTAATAATGAAATAATTATTAAGGAAAAAACAGATACCCCATTTCCAAAAATGGGCAATAGAATTAAATAGGCATGTTATGAAAGAATATATGAAAAAATGTTCAACTTCATTATTTATCAGGGAAATATAATTAAAACTACAGTGAGGTACTACTGCATACCTTCCAGAATGGCTAAAATTTTTAAAGCTGACAATATCAAGTGTTGACATAGATGTTCCTTTCATATGTTATTTTGGGGAATATAAATTGGTACAACCACCATTTGGCAGTATCTTTCAAAGTTGGACATACATAAATACTATGCCAAATATAATAATAAAACTGGCTACATACCCAACAGATATTAGTGCTTATGTTTATCAAAATGTGTACAAAAATATTCATAGAAGTTTTAATCATATCAAAATACTGGAAACAACTCAAATGTCCATCAACTTGAGATGATATAAATACATTGTAGTATGTTCATACAACGGAACAGATGCAGCAACGAGAAAGAATGAACTATGTCTGTAAACAATGGTCGATGAGTCTCAGACATAATGTTGGACAAAGAAGCCAGACAAAAAAATTATAGTCCCTTAATTTCATTATATGAAAGTGAAGAATAGGATGGGATCAGAATAGCGGTAACATTTTAGGTGGGTGAATATTGATAGAAGGGCACATGAGGAAGCCTCCTGAGGGTCCTAAATCTGGATGGTGACTCTGGTGTTTTTACACAAGTGAAAATTGAGTTGTTCCCTTAAGGTTTATGTACTTCATTGTAAGAGAGAGAAATCATGGCAGAGGAAAGTGGGTAGGATTATAAGTAAAATAAAAGTGGCTGTGAGTTTGTTGTGGCTTATGGAAGCTGGATGATAAGCATATAGGGACTCACTGTGATAGTCTTTCTATATTTATTTCCAGAATTTTTAAAAGGTGTATTTTGGTGAAAAAAAAATAGTTAAACCTTCATCTTATAATTTAAATTTCATATTATAAATTTCACATGGATTAATAACTAAAAACTATTAAAGATACTATAAAACATTAATAGGGAATGAAGGTGAATATTTAACTGACAGATGGGAAAGAACTTTTTCAGCAAAACCAAAAATGGAAGAAATTACAAAGGAATAAATATGTTGATAGATTTGAATAGATAAGAGTTTTTTTAAATTTATTTTATTTATTTTATTTTTAGGGGGGAGGTAATTAGGTTTGTTTGTTTATTTTTAGAGGAGGTACTGGGGACTGAACCCAGGACCTCATGTATGCTAAGCAAATGGTCTACTACTAGAGCTATACCCTCCCCCAAATATATAAGGTTTTTAAACATTTAAAACCACTTTTTAAAATATCTTAAAAAGAACTAACTGGAAGATGTAGTTTTAATAAATATGACAAAAGACAAAGATCATGAGGAGCTCTTAAAAATATAAAAGAAAAATATTTGTAACCCGGGAGGACAGCATGTATGATGCATGAACACAACTCACAAGCTAAGAAAACAAATTACTAATAAATTTTTTAAAAGTTTAACTCACTGTTAACTACAGTGTTATCAGTGTGAGTGAATGTGCAGCTGCAAGTATAAAATGATATACATTTAGAGTCTAACATTTAGTCATAAAATAATTAGTGTCTCATAATTAAAGAAATTCATTGCAGCATTAGTTATATTAACAAATTAGAAACAATCTGTCTAGAAATAAACAGTTAAATTATGGCACATCTATAAAGTGCTATATTGAGTCATCATTAAAAACAATGTTTCCAAACAATTTATAATGCATTTATATTGTTAAGTCGTAAGTTTTAAAAAAGAGAAAAAATGTGCATATATATTTATCTGTTGTAATCCTACATACACTAATCTCAATTTAAAAATTTATAAACAGCAATTATGTAGAAGTTAGAGGTAGTTATCTCTGCATTGTAGATTACAGAAACCTTATATTTGTCTTTTTAACTTTTTGTATTTTCCATTATTTTACAATATGCTTATGTTTTGGGCTTTGCATTTTTATAATGGGGAAGAGAGGAATGAATGAATTTCCCCTACTTGGTACTCCATTTGACCTATCTTTAACAGTTCAGGATAGTAACTGAAGTTTCTTGGAAAGCAAAAAGATGGCAGAAATCTTATCTACCAAAAATGCTCCCTTTTGCCATGTCTGCATCTAGTGGAAGAGAAGAATCATTGGTAAATAAGGGACAGATTCTCTTAAATAGTTAGCTGTAATTCTATTTTGTGGAGGAGGAGGGCTGTCAGATAAATGGCTGCTTTGTAGCTGATTCCTTCTCTGACAACATGAGAACCTAGTACTATACTTTCCTGCTTTTCTCCCCCTTCAAAGAGAGTGTGATCTTCCATAGATCAGCTGAAAGGAGCCAAAGCCTCTCCATATCTTTGTGGTCTAAACACCCCTCATAAGAATGTAAAATTAGGAAACAGATAGTTTTTAGCAATCCTTTACTGGAGTGAGTAGTTTTCTACAGAGGAGGGACACAAAGGAGAAGATAGGAAGACCATAAATTCTATTTTTCTTACCCTGAATTGAATCATTCTTGGGACTTTTATTGTTATAGGGAACCTAGTTGTTTCAGCCCTTATCTTCCAACAGCGCTCCAGACCTGTCCAGTTTAACAGTTGGAATTGTATCAGGCAAATGATCTGGGGTTTGTTTAAAGATCAAGTTTTGATACCAGGAAGCTAGCATTCATTCAGTCTACAGATAAAAATTTTTGACATCCTTACTATGTTTCAGGTGCTGAAGATGTAATAGTAAGCAAAAAAGATACGGTCCCCACCCTTAAAAACATATTATTTACTTAGAGATGGGCAAACTTTAAATGTATATTTACAAATAAATGCTCTTTAGGAAAAGCATAGGAGAGCTTATAACATAGGGACCTGACTTTTTCTAGATAGATGGTAAGAGAATTTCCTGTAGGAGCAGTAATTGGGCTGAATTCTAAAATTTCAATAGAAATAACTAAGATAAGCAGGACAGGAAAGATTATTCCAAGCAAAGGGAACAATATGTGAAAAAGACCCAAGAATGGGAAGGCATTGTGGCAGAAACAAAGAAAGGGAAAGGAATAGTAGCATAACACAAACTTACAGAAGTAGGTAGAGACCAGGTTATCACGAAGGACCTTAGAACAAGGCTTGTCAGACTGCAAGTAGATTTTCTAAGTGGAAATGAGGAGTTAATTAGGCAGGCAGTTCTAAAACTATACAGATGCATAGACCAGTTTTCAATACATGTGTGAGAGAGAGACAGACAGACAGAATTAAACACTTCCACCTAAGATATCAGAACCATGGCTTCTGTGGAAAACGTGGAGATTGAGACAGAGAAGGCTGTTCAGTTCTAGATTTGCAGAATTCAATAATTCAAAAATTAGTTAAATAGAGGAGTCAAAGACCTTAGGAGATTTGCACTGCAGTTATAAAATACAAAATAAATAAATCCAAAGTAGTTTTTCCAGTGTCAGTATTTACAAAGTAAAATTTCTACTTGTGTACCATTTGAGAAAGTAAATTTAAGAGTTTTAGGAAGCATGTTGCATTTAGCAGTGGTAGTAAGGACAAGTTGTTTGCAGTTTCCCCCCATGAGCCTTAGATTTTGCTATTGTTGGGTTTTCTTTGGTATTTTTTGAATTGGTAAAATTGAGTTCCTTTTTCATTCTTTTTTGAGTTTGAAAGTAGCCATATTTAATACATTACTAGAAGCCTTGCCAGCTGTGACCAATTTTAAAGAAACTTAGTTTAAAATGTCATAAGGTAGGTATTCTTTAAAATATTTCTTCAGTGTAGCAAGATGAAGATGGATTGAGAATATAACAAAGAAATTGTTCTAGTCACTGTTTAACTATTTTCTCGGCTGTCTCAAGTATGGCAGTAGGTAGTTTGATTCTAGACGGATACAAGAGAAGACTGTTCATTACATGTTTTGATTGTTTTAGGGTATTAGGCTTAATTCTGTCTGTGAACCCCAGTTGAGAAAGCTTTTGTTTGTATGTTCATTCTGCATTAAGGCATTTTTACTATAATGACAGACATAACCTACAAATAACTAAAGGCATTTCCAAATGAGTTTCTCAAAGTCATTATAGTCTTTTCATGAAAAAACAAAAGCAAAAAAGCAACACATCGTTCATTTACACTAACTGAAGTGGTAAAGGGATTTCTATATATGATTTTCTTTGACTTTACAAAGCCCTTTGAAAGACAATCTGAAATTTATTATGTAAATCAAAAGTAACTTGAAGACCTTCTAAGAGGAGCTTCTGATGAACACGTCAGGGTGCTGGGAGGGTGGCATACATGGAGAGGGCATGGAAACTCCAGACACACCCTACATCCTGTACCTTGCTGTGTGTGACTCTTCTATTTAGCTGTTCTAGAGTCGTAGCCTTTATAATAAACCAGTAAACACTTTTTTTTTAATGACTTGAGTAAAAACCTAAATTTCAGTTACTGAGAGCATGAACATTTTCTGTGTTTTCTGGCAACAAAAATAAAAATAGGTAAGAGCAGTTTTGTATTACATAGTATACTTTTTTCCTACTGGTGTTTTAAGGTGTTGGGGCAAGTGTTGAAAAATTTGTAGCCCAAAATTTATATTATAATACAAAAGAAGTCTTCATATGTTTGGAGACAATTTGTAAACCTAATTTTTATATAGATTTCTCACCAAATATTTCTATGCAGCAGAAAACACAGTGATTCCTTTTGTATATATCATTGATCATTATATCTCCTAGGGTAACAGAAAAGAAAAAAATACTATGTTCATTTTATTCCTTAGATCAGTACAATGGAACATGAATTTTCAATAAAGGAACATGGGTTTGAAGTTCAACTGAGAGAGTTAGAAGATAGTAATCGAAATTCCACTGTTGAACTGAGGCATCTCTTAGTGACTCAACAGAAGGCGGCCAACAGGTGGAAAGAAGAAACGAAAAAACTCACTGAAAGTGCAGAAATTAGGATCAGCAATCTAAAGTAAGTCCACTATTAATTGTTTGATACATTTTATAGAAGAAATTATTGAATAATTTAGTTTAATGTCCTTGCCATAATATTTTGTGAAAAATGTTTGTGTGGACCTTGTACTTTTATATTTTATTCAGCAAATATTTATTGAACTACTATGAAAAATACTAAGCATTATAAACCAAACTAATATGTTTTATAAAGTTTATTAATATTACACAGAATTTAAGGATTTTTGTTGGATATGGCAGTTTTGAATCTCAACACCTTTTGCATATAGGTATAGCACAATGGTTGTCTATAGTTATAACAGAATCCATTTGACCTACAAAGCCTAAAATATTTGTTCTCTGGTCCTTTAAGAAAAAAATTGCTGACCCTTGCCCAGAAAGAACTTGAGTATTTATGATGAATGAAATGGGAAGCCATGAAAGACTTGTAGCAAAGTGATATGGTCAGGCTTCAGTGTTCAACAAATCAGTTTAGCTGCTATAGAAAAAATAGACTAGAGAGGGTCAAGGGCAGAAGAGAGAAGGTAGGCCAATACTGCAATAATCCAGTTATAAAGTGATGGTAACTTGGATTAAGGTTTGAAGAGTTGGAAATTATATTTTTTTATAAAAGTATACTCTGGATCATGTTCAGTATGAGCTACCTGAAAGACATCTAAGTCAGGATATTGACTCATTAATTAGGTATGCAAGTTTGGAGTTCAGGAAGGAGACTGCAAGAGGAGCCATATGGGAGTCTTTAACATACACATGATTTTTAAAGTATTGGAATAAGAATGTATAGAAGGGAACTCTAGATAGATAATTAAGCTGTCTGAGGACTAAGTTCCAAAAGTTAAAGTTTGGGGAGATGAAAATTCCACTGAGACTAAAAGAAAGAATATTGAGAGAAATAATCAGGAAAGAATGCTAATTTAAAAAAGAGAGAATGAGCAATAATAATAGTAGGTGATATTTACATTTTACTGACAGAGAAACTGAGGGCCAAGGGAGGTTAAGAAACTTGTTCAAGGTCACATAGCTAATAAAGTGACGGATCCTGGTTTTAAATTCAGGCACTTTGGATAAAGACAATATGCTCTTAACCATTATGTTTTTGGTAACAGTTTTTTGCAGCTTTTTTTTTGAAGTATAGTTGCTGTACAATATTATATAAGTTACAGGTGTACAGTATAGTGATTCATAATTTTTAAAGGTTATACTCCATTTATAGTTATTATAAAATATTGGTTGTATTCCCCATGCTATACAGTATATCCTTGTGGCTTATTTTATACCAAATAGTTTGTACTTGTTGCTACCCTATCCCTATATCGCCCCTCCCCGCTTTCCTCTCCCCACTGGTAACCATTAGGTTGTTCTCTGTATCTGTGAGCCTGCTGGGTTTTGTTATATTTACCAGTTTGTTGTGTTTTTTAGATTCCACATATAGTATAGTGCTCTCCAAGTCCATTCATGGCAAATAGCAAAATTTCATTTTTTATGTTTGAGTGGTATTCCAGTGTGTGTACACACACACACACACACACACACATGAGGTCCTCTTTATCCATTCATCTGTTGATCAACACTTAGGTTGTTTCCATATCTTGGCAATTACAAATAGTTCTTCTGTGGACTTGGGATGCAGGTATCTTTTCGAATTATTGTTTCTGTTTCTTTCAGATACACACCCAGGAGTAGAATTGCTAGGTTATACGGTAGTTCTATGTTTAGTTTTTTGAGAACCCTCCATACTGTTCTCCACAGTGGTTATACCAATTTACATTCCAATCAGTGGTGTACGAGGGTTGCCTTTTCTCCACATCCTCAACAACATTTGTTATTTGTGTTCTTTTTGATGATAGGCATTCTGACAGGTGTGATGTGATATCTTGTTGTAGTTTTACCAATTTACATTTCCATGATGATTAGCAGTGTTCAGCATCTTTTCATGTGCCTGTTGTCCATCTACATTCCCTCTTTGGAAAAAAATGTGTATTCAAATATGCTGCCCATTTCTTAATCTGGTTGTTTGGGGGATTTTTTGATAAATTGTATAAGCTGTTTACATATGTTGGATATTAATCCCTTATCAGTCATACCATTTGCAAATGTTTTCTTCCATTCAGTAGGTTGTTTTATCATTTTGTCAATGATTTCCTTTGCTGTGCAAAATCTTTTAAGTTTAATTAGGCCTCCTTTGTTTATTTTTGCTTTTATTTCCTTTGCTTTAGGAGATGGATCCAAAAAAATATTGCTTCAATTTATGTTGAAAAATGTTCTGCCTATGTTTTGCTTTAGGAGTTTTATCCAGTCTTCTTTTTAAGTCTTTAATCCATTTTGAGTTTATTCTTGTATATAGTACTAGAAAATGTTCTAGTTTCATTCTTTTATATGTAGCTTTCCAGTTTTCCCAGCACCACTCACTGAAGAAACTGTCTTTTCTCCATTGTATATTCTTACCTCCTTTGTCATAGATTAATTGACCATAAAGTGTGTTGAGCTTATTTCTGGGCTCTCTGTCCTTTTAACTTCCCTAATAGCTTTGTGTGTGGATAATTCCCTACCTTTACTGTTTGCCTTTACTGGTGAGCTTTTTCATTTTGTAATTTTCATATTTCTTGTTGTGACCTTTTCTTTTTCACCTAGAATAATTCCTTTAACATTTGTTGTAAAGCTAAACTTTTGGTTGTGCTGAACTTTTTTAGTTTTTACTTGTCTGTAAATCTTTTGATTTCTCCATCAAGTATGAAGGAGAGCTTTGCTGGGTAAAGCATTCTTGGTTGTAGGTTTTCCCCTTTTAATCACTTTAAATATATCATGGCACTCCTGGCCGGCAGAGTTTCTGCTGAAAAATCGTCTGATAGCTTTTTAGGAGTTGACTTGTATGTTATTTATTCCTTTTTCCTTGCTGCTTTTAATAGTCTCTCTTTATATTTCATTTTTGTCATTGTAATTAATTGTCTTGGTGTGTTCCTCTTTGGGTTAACACTGTATGTGACTCTCTGCACTTCCTGGACTTGGGTGATTATTTCCTTTCCTGTCTTTTTCACCAATGGTTGTTCTTCAGATAGTTGTGATTGTGGTGTACTCAGGAGTTGAGTTCAGGGTCTTTCTACCCCACCATCTTGGCAATACCCCCATAACCATTATGTTTTACAAAATGCTACTTATTGGTTGAAAAAGGGAGGGCTGAGAATGAACCTTTCAGTGTGACACTCTGTGGTGGTATTGTTAACTATGGTAGGAGGAGTTTTGGTAGAATGCTAGAATGAAAATGTATTTGGAATTAATTTAGAAGAAAAGGAAAATTGTTGCTTCCAGTTAATGGTGAGCTAGGAAATCTGTATCATAACTAAAAAAATTAGATGAATTACAAAAAGCATCTACTAAGAGCATTAAAGAACAGAAAAAAAATTATTACCAGTTTGACTATATCCCAGAATGCAAAATTATTAAAACATTAGAAAATATATTTATATAATTCACCACATTAAGTTACTAAAAGAGAGATCATAGGGTCTCCTCAATAGATATGGAAAAAGTATTTAAGAAAATTTAATATCTGTCCATTTATGATTTTTAAATATATCTCTTAGCAAACTAGAAATAGAACTTCCTTAATTTTATAAAGGTATCTATTCTAAAGTAAACATTATTCCTACTGCAAAAAAAAAAAAGTTAACTTTGCTTTGGAGATTGAGAAGATAACAGAGAAGACTACTATTACCACTTATATTAGTTTTGTACCAGAAGTCCTAATCAGTATACTACGGCAAGAAAAAGAAATAAAATGTATACAAACTAAAAAGGAAGGAAGAAGACAGTCATTCTTCACAGATATCATGATTGTATATGCAGAAAGTCAAAAATAATTCATAGACAGATTATTAGGTGAACATACAGAATTCAGTTATATTTTACATACCAGCAACAAGCATTTCAAAATAAAACCTTAAAAATAGTAAAGTTTACAGTGCATCCAGAAATATCAAATACCCAAGAATAAATCTAACAGTGTGTAAGACTTACACATGAAAAGTATGATACTAAGATATATTAAGATGTAAAGAAGGCCTAAGTAAGTAGAAATCATGTTAATTGATCAGAATACTCAATATTATAAATTATTAACAACCCCCCCACCAACAATCTATAGATTTAGTGTAATCCCAGCCAAAAAATTAACCATCACACTTCCTGTATCATACATGAGGAAACTCTGGACTTTAAAAAAGTTATGCAAGTCCACAGTTCATTATCTGCAATTCCAAATTCAAAAAGCTCTGATAACAGTCTTTTCCTAAGTTTGCTGCCTACACTTGATGACAAAAACCTGATGAACTGATCGATAGGAAGGTATTTGTCATACAGGTATATTTATGTGGACACACACATACATACACACATATATACAGTTACACAGAAACATGTATTTCCTTTATTGTGCCTATTAATATGTTTTACTGAGAAATATTTATTACCATTGTAATCTCTGTCCTACTCTAAACCCCTG